CGCTGGTCATAATGAGCTCGAACAGCGCCACCGAAAACTTGTTGCCCGCGATGATCGCCGCGACGGTGCCGACGGCCTCGCTGAGGGGGCCCCGCACCTGCAGCCGCATCGCCATGGAGAAGTACGACACCACCACGGCCAGCAATTCCAGCGGGAAAGCATGTTCGACGCCCTGCTCACACAGGATGTGGAGGCTGACCCTCTCGAAGGCCTTGACCAAATCCAAGATGGCGGTGGCGGCGGCCAGGGCTTCAGGGCCCACGTCGCGGTCGCCCCCGCCCTCGCGCGCCAGCAACCTCCCAGGCTGCGTGCTCGGAGGGCCCGCCCACCTGAGGTGCAGTCCCAGCTCCTGCTGTGCTACTTGGACAATCCTCAGACTGGGATCTGGCATCTATTCCCATACGCGCATTAGCGTCGGGAGGAGCCCAAGGGTCCTGTCATTCTTGAAGGTCTTGGGGATGAGTATATACAGGATGGTGGAGGTCTGCTCTGGCCAGATCAGCGTTCTTTCCACCCTGTGCGAGATGTCGAGAATATGCTGCAGGCCCTCGTTTGACACCCCTCTCAGCATTCCGGGGCGCCACCTGTCCACCCCGATGCGGGCGGTGGGCTCGAAGCCCCGGATTACCTCCTTGAGGCGGCTGAGCTCCATAGGCGGACGCTCGCAAATGAGCCAAGGGCGTGGCAACAGCTGTTTGGAGCTGGCGACCTGCCATACCTCACAGCACTCCTCGAGCGACTGCGCTGCAGCGGCTAACGGGCCTGCCACGTCACCGGGGGTAGCCGCCCATCTTGGGTGCCACCTTTCAGCTGGCTTGCTCAGGCGGCGCAGCCTGCCTGCTGACCCCATGCGCTGCCCTCTCCAACGTGGGCCGCCATTTCTCGTCCAACTCACGCTTCGCCGCGCGGTCGATTGCGTCCGCCTTTGCTTTTTGCCTCGGCCTACCATTCGCACACGACGGGCCTGCGCGCCACCCCCGCCACTGGCCGCTTGCCAGCAGGAGACCTCTCGCCTGCCACATGCCTGAGTCTGGACACGCCCGAGATGCCGCTCCAGCGCGAGGACGGTCCTGAGCTCAGCCGTGGGCCCTCCTTCGGCGCAGGTTCCGTCGTTGGCCTCGTACTGGCGGAGGATTTGTTGCAGCGTGCGGTCCAGCCAGCGCCAAGCGCGGCCCTCCCGTGCGGCCTGCGATCTGGCTCCTCCTCCGTGGGGCTGCACCTCCTGCAGGCGCCAACGAGGCGCGGTACCTCTCCCCGCTCGCGGATCGTCGGCATGCCATTCCAGGCCCCATCAGGGCAAATGCCTCCTTCTCGGTGGATGTAACCACCCTGGCGTACTCCGCGGTGGCCACGGCCTGGCTGGTGAAAGGCTTAACTGCCTCGTACTCCGGCGGCTGCGGGGCGCGCACCACCGACTGGCCATCCAGCCTCTGAGGCCGCACCAGCACGCGCACATACTGCACCACCACGCGGAGGCTCAGACGGAGCTCCACTGGCTTATGCGGCGCCGACGGCCGTTCCTCCTGCATCCAGACAGACTGTACCCCGCTCGCCAACTGCTTGCACACGATGATGTAGTCGATGGCGCCGCTGTTGCCCCAGGAGCCCCTGCAAGCGCCCAGGTCCGAGGTTGGCGCGACGAGGGCGCCCTCGGCGATCTGAAGGTTCACCTCCTCGCCAAAGACCTTCGGCGCCCGCTGGAAGTCGCCTGCCAAGATCCACGGCAGGCCCGAGGTGACCAAGTAACGCATGACTTCTACAAGCAACTTCTGGCTGCGGAAGCTCATGCCTTCACCCGCCCAGAGGTAGATCGACACGTATAGTGCTCTTCGGCCTGCTGCGATCCACACGGCGGCCGCTCTACCTGGCGCCTCCTTGGGGGCGATGTCGCAAGACTCGCAGTCCTGCAAATAAGAAGCGCCTAGGTGCTTGGGCACCGCGATGGCGACCCGTGCCTAGGTGCCCGTCCGGCCACTCGCGGTGCTAGTCGCCACCGCTGGGCTGCCCCACAACTGCCAGCCCTACCTCAGCATGAACTGGCGCACGCCCTCGAACTTGTCCTGGACCAGGTGGTGTTTCTGCACCGCGACCACCTGCCGCGCCCCCGTGGCGTCGAGGATGCGGTCCTTGAGAGTGCCCCAGCTGGACCCGTTGAAGCTTCACAGGTCGGGGCACTTCCTCTCCTCCTGCGCGGGCCTGCCCGCGCCGCGGCTTCTTATGGAGCCGTTCCGAGACGTAGGCGCACAGCTCACGCCAGCGATTGATCTTGGCTCCTCCGGCATCTGAGGTGGTCCCCCGTCGGCCATCCAAGCCTGCTCCTCCGGGGTGAATCCGGCGGACTCTGGGTCCACCCCCATGGCAAGCTCATGGGCTGCTGCTGCCGCTGGAACCGCAACTCCCCCTGCCCCTGGCTGCGCACCAGCGGCGTGACCAGGCACCACGCCAGGGCGAAGAGGCACTGGTTTGGCCTTGACCGCCTCGGCTGCCGCGTCGAGGGCTTGGAGAACTTCGGGCTGGACACCGCTGGCTGCGATGGCGGCGCGGGCGGAGGCCAGCAGGGCGCAGGTGGCATTGGACTCGGGGTCGGCGGCGAGCAGCTGGTTGGCACTGCGCTCCGTGAATTTGGCGGCCCCTTCAGCCGTCAGCGTCCGGCGTGCGCCCAGGTCGGCCTGAGCAGCTGCCACCTGCTCCTGTCGGGGATGGACAGACCTCCCTTTAGTAGAACGTGGTTTAGTGAAAACGACTTCGGGCCCAAACCTGGCGGGCGCAAGCCTGGAAAATAACGGCCACTGCGCCCACTCGAAAACCGAAAACGGACAATTCACTAATCGACGTGTCACTATTAGGGGTTCTGTCCACCCCCGATCCTGGACCGTCTTGAGCCGCTCCTCCGCCGCAGCCTCCGCCGCGAGCAGCTGCTCCTGGCGCCTCTCCGCCTGCTGCACCAGCACCCCAGCCGGCTTCGCCCTGTCGCGGACGGCCCTGGCCTGCTCGAGTTTGGCCCCGACCACCTTGGTGACCGGGTCGTCCTCACTGCACTTCTTGAGGAGGGACTGGTGCTCCTTGACCAGCTGCTAGATGTCCACGTCGGCCCCGACCTTGGCCGGCGGGCTGGCGCCTGCGAACTGACCAGCTTGTCGAGCTGCAGCTGCGCCAACTGCGCGGACAGCTGCTTCTCGCGCTTGCCGGGCGCCCCGGCGACGTCGGCGAATGTCCGCACCTGCCGCGGGGCCGCCTTGCCACAGGTCTGGCCCTGGGCCCTCCAGCCGAAGTTGTCGTTAGTCCCGCACGAACAGGACCACGGCCTGCCCAGCTTGGCTGCAGGCGCACGCACCCCTTCCGGCGGCATCCCCGTCGCTGATCCCTTGGATCAGCACCCAAACAAAGATGCGCTGAGCGAAGCGTGGCTGCGTGCGCTGCCCCCTGCCCTGAGAGGCACCTGCGGGGACGCGCGGGAACTGAGTGCACGGGGGACTTGAGCCGCCCCCTCGGCGTGGCGTGGAACCCACAAAGCAGCGCCTCCAGCTCGGCAGGGCGTCGCTGGACGGGCGGCGTGGCCGCCACCCGCGGGGGCGGCAGCGCCCCCGAGGCCCGCGGCCGCGGGGCACCCGAGGAGGCGGCGGAGCGCTCGGTCTGTCTCGGAATGCCAGGAGCGCCAAACACTGCGATGCGCTGTCGGACTGGGGCGGGGCCATCATTTCCGACAAGGAGTGCCGCGGTGTGTTCAGATCTACACGTCGTTCATGTCTCCTCGTGCTCGCTTCTGATTGTGCTCGTTTCTAATCCCACCAGCCCTCTGGGCGTCGGTGGTTTAGAGCGTTTCCTCTTCCACCCCTCCTTCTTCCCCGTCGGGGAGGGGTTTACCCCTCCCCCTACCCCCTCCCCACTGACCTGGACAGGGGGGGCGGGAAGCGGTCAGAGCGTCCAAAACGGCCTCGCCGAGGAAGCCAAAATCATTGATTTTACTAAGGTTTTGGCCCCATTTTGGCCCCCAGAGGGGGCAGCACTAATTGAAGCTCCCCTCTTCTTTGATCGATTTCCTCCAAGATGGCCCCAAGAAGCGTCCAGGAGGCACCAAGAGGCCCCAAGATGGCCCCAAGATGGCCCCAAGAGGCCCCCAGGAGGCCCACAAGAGGATCCCAAACGGCCCAAAGAGGCCCCCCCGAGGCACCCAAGACGCCGAAAAGCCCCCCAGGACGACCCTCTACTCGCCTGGGCGTCGTTTCTGGACGGGCTGGTGGGGATACGCGAAGCGTCTAGAATTGTTCCTGGCCCCCTGGTGGCCAGGAAGAGGCCCAGGATAGAACAGTTAGAAATGAGAGGATCTTGGCCCCCCTGAAAAAAAAAAAAAAAAAAAAAAGCAACCTAACAGCGATGTGTAGAAGCATATCTGAAAGCATTCCCCTTAAGATTCAGATGAAAATCCAGTTGTCGAATTCTGCTGTTCTCGCAGTCGTAGTCGCATTCGCGATGACAGTCGCAGCGGCAACGGCAGTCGCAGTCACAGCCTCAGCCTCAGCCTGCCTCCTCCTCCTCCTCTTTCTCCTGCTCCTCCTCCTCCTCCTCCTCCTCCTCCTCCTCCTCCTCCTCCTCCTCTTCCTCCTGCTCGTCCTCGTTCTCGTCCTCCTCGTCTTGCTCGTCCTCCTCCTCCTGGTGCTCTCTCCTCCTCCTCCTCCTCCTCCTCCTCCTCCTCCTGGTGGTCCTCGTTCTCCTCCTCCTGGTGCTCTCCCCCCCCCTCCTCCTCCTCGTCCTCCTCCTCCTCCTCCTCCTCGTCCTCCTCCTCCTCTCCTCCTCCTCCTCCTCCTCCTCCTCCTCCTGGTAGTCCTCCCCCTCCCCTCCTCCTCCTCCTCCTCCTCCTCCTCTTCCTGGTCGTCCTCGTTCTCGTCCTCCTCGTCTTGCTCGTCCTCCTCCTCCTGGTGTTCTCTCCTCCTCCTCCTCCTCCTCCTCCTCCTCCTCCTCCTCCTCCTCCTCCTCCTCCTCCTCCTCCTCCTCCTCCTCCTCCTCCTGGTGGTCCTCCTCCTCCTCCTCCTCCTCCTCCTGGTGGTCCTCGTTCTCCTCCTCCTGGTACTCTCCCCCCCCTCTCCCCTCCTCCTCCTCCTCTCGTCCTCCTCCTCCTCCTCCTCGTCCTCCTCCTCCTCCTCCTCCTCTTCCTCCTCCTCCTCCTCCTCCTCCTCCTCCTCCTGGTACTCCTCCCCTCCTCCTCCTCCTCCTCCTCCTCCTCTTCCTGGTCGTCCTCCTCCTCCTGGTCGTCCTCCTCCTCCTGCTCGTCCTCCTCCTCCTCCTGCTCGTCCTTCTTCTCCTGCTCCTCCTGCTCCTCGTCCTGCTCCTGCTCGTCCTCGTCCTCCTGGTCTTGCTCGTCCTCCTCCTCGTCGTGCTCTTGCCCCTGCTGAAAATGTGGCCCAGGAGTGGGAGTTCTGGGAAGTCGAAGAGCACGAAGTTGCCTACAGTGGGCTACGGGCATTCAAAATGTGGCCCGGGAATGGAGTTCTGGGAACTCGAAGAGCACGAAGTGGCCTACAGTTGGCTCCGGGCATTCAAAATGTGGCCCGGGAATGGAGTTCTGGGAACTCGAAGAGCACGAAGTGGCCTACAGTTGGCTCCGGGCATCCAAAATGTGGCCCGGGAATGGAGTTCTGGGAAGTCGAAGAGCACGAAGTGGCCTACAGTTGGCTCCGGGCATCCAAAATGTGGCCCGGGAATGGAATTCTGGGAACTCGAAGAGCACGAAGTGGCCTACTGTTGGCTCCGGGCTCCAAAATGTGGCCCGGGAATGGAGTTCTGGGAACTCGAAGAGCACGAAGTGTGTGACTGTTGCATCCGGGTATTCAGAATGAGCCTGGGAATGGAGTTCTGGGAAGTCGAAGAGCACGAAGTGTGTGACTGTTGGCGAAAAACGAGCCCGGCACCCTGCCGCCCGGCAACTCCCAACACCTGCCCGGACCCCCCTGTGGAGTGATCTGTGAGCTCTTTTTAGACCACTAGAAACCTATCAGTCTTCGCTGTTAGGTAACAAAGAACCTTCGAATACCTCTACCCCGAGCGTGAAGAACGTTCGGAGGCCGCCAGAAGCATGCGAAATCCTGGGGGAACCTCGCCTCCTCCTCCTCCTCCTCCTCCTCCTCCTCCTCCTCCTCCTCCTCCTCCTCCTCCTCCTCCTCCTGCTCCTCCTCCCCCTCCTCCTCCTCCTCCCCTAGAAAGAACACTGTGTAGCGCTACAGCGAGAAAATGCCTGTGCGGGCGGCCAGCGCAGGCCTCCGCACCCGACGGGCTAGCAGGCAGCAGGCGCCGCCGCCGCCAGGGCGGCGGCCGCCCACGCAGGGCACGGCCTCGCCTCGTGGGCGGAGGCGGCGGTGGGCACCGCCTGGCTCACCGCGCACGCGCGGCCTCCTCCTCCTCCTCCTCCTCCTCCTCCTCCTCCTCCTCCTCCTCCTCCTCCTCCTCCTCCTCCTCCTCCTCTCCTCCTCCTCCTCCTCCTCCTTCCTCCTCCTCCGCCTCCGCCTCCTCCTCCTCCCCCTCCTCCTCCTCCTCCCCCTTGGCGCTGCTGGGGCGGAGGCAGGCCGCGACCGCGATCGGAGCAGCGCGCGTGGGCGAACAGGGCTTCTCCGGGCGGTGCTGGCGCAGCTCCTGCCTCCTGGAAGGGGGCAGCCGTGTCCGCGACCAGGGTCCCGCCCCCCCCGCGCCAGGCATCCTGGCGCTGCTGAGGCAGGCCGCAGTCGTCGGTGGCACCCTCCTCCTCCTCCTCCTCCTCCCCTCCTCCTCCTCCTCCTCCTCCCTCCTCCTCCTCCTCCGCCTCCTCCTCCTCCTCCTCCTCCTCCTCCTCCTCATCCTCCCCCCCCCTCCTCCCCCTCCCCTTCCCCCCGTCGACGTCAGTGTCCATGCCACCCCATACTTTGGACAGTGACAGTGGTTGGCGCCGGCGCGTTACCGCACTGCCTGTCCTTCCCCCCCCGCTCTGGAGTCGAGGTTCCGTGGCACGCCGCAGCCGGCGGCGTCAGTCCCGCACCCCAGGCCGAGCACGCCAGGGTCAGACTCGCAGTAGCCGTCGGCGTCGGAGGCCGTATCGGCGGCGCCCAGCGGTCCGCCAGCGCAGCGGCTGTCGTCGATGGGGTCCAACGACCTCGCGAGGCCAAGCGGGTCCTCATCGCACAGGTCGGCGTCCGTGGACTATGGGCCTCGGCAGTGGCTTCAGCAGACCTCGCGAGCGGCTGCATGCGGGCCAACTCGGCGGCGCATGCCCCGCCCAGCCTTGTGACAAAGGAAGGGCGCGGCGCCGCAGGTCGTCTACCCAGACATCCAGCTGCTCCAATTTCTTCGATGCGTGGGCCCCAGAGGTCCGGACCACTTCCCTAGGGCCAGTGTTTCGTCCTGAGTCCTTCTGCGACGCTCCCGAGGCCCAGAGAGGGCCCCCCCGGAGGCCGAAAACTATCAAAAACCGCCTGCTCCAGTGTTTCTGGAGCGTCGGATCTCTGGGTATGGATGCTCACGGCGGCAAAGTGGAGGGCGGCGGCCAGCTCGTGGCGGCGCCTGGCCGCGTCCTCCACCTCCAGCTGGAGGCCCCACCTGGCCGCTGCCCACGTGGCCAGCGCGTCGGCCTCCCAGCTGGCCCAGATGGCCACGACGGGGATGGATGCGGCCCGCGCTGGTGCCATCCTGCCCCAGGTGGCGCGGCACCTCCTGTTGGCGGCGCGCATTAAGGGGGTAGGGGGAGGGGGAGGCTTGTCAGAAGGAGGCCACTGCTCAGAAGGCGCAGGCCTTACATGTACAAACAAGACCCGCCGCTCCTGAGAAGCAGAGGTGCTTCTAAGAAGCCTTCCCCCCTCCCCCTACCCCCGGTCTGCGCGTCCTCTTCTCCACAGAGGGAACTGGTGGACCTGACCTGGAGCATGCGGCAAATAGGAATCCAAGCGTCCACATGCGGCCCCGCGGGGATGGTGAGAACGCTGGCGACGACGGCTCGGTTGTCGACGGACAAGTGGGCTGGGAGCTCGGCGACAGCAGACAAATCCAACAAGGCCTGCGTCTCCGCGCGCTAGACGTTCTGTGAAAAAGCCGTGGATGCAGTTGGAGACGTTAAGGCGGTTGTCCGTGCCGTAGAAGGGGACAGTAGAATGAAGGAAGAGGAGGAGGAGGAGGAGGAGGAGGAGGAGGAGGAGGAGAGGAGGAGGAGAGGAGGAGGAGAGGAGGAGGAGGAGGAGGAGGAGGAGGGTGAAGGAAGGAGGGAGGAGAAGGAGAGGAGAAAGAAGGAGGAGGAGGGTGAAGGAAGGAGGAAGGGACGAGGTCGTGAGGACGGAGGGAGGAGGGGAGAGGACGGAGGAGGGAGGATGAGGAGGAGGCAGGGACGAGAAGGGAGGAGCGGGCCGGTCGTCGTCGCCCTCGCCGACGACCCAATACTTATTCGGCTCGATGGAGACGGCGCTGGCGTTGTCGACGCCGTGGCGGTGGCCGCTGAAGTACGTGATGTTGTGCCTGGCGAGCTACGGTCAGCCCGACGCGCCAGAAGAGCCCTCAGGAAGAGGAGGCCTTCACTAGCAAGCACGAAAGAGGCGGGCCACACAAGGACAAGGGTCCTGGACCGCAGGGCCTTCCCTGGGGACGGGCTTGGTCACCCTGCATCGCCTCTCGACGGCCCCGGGGCCCGGTGAAGTGCCATGGGAGCCCAAGAAAGGCGAACAAAAGCCAGGACACGTTTATGGGGGCTTCCGGAGGAGGGCGCGAGACGAGACGAAACGAAGCGCCGGATGCGTCCCGGGGAACAGCCCCCCTCAGGAACGCAGGGAGGGGGCGCCACGGCGCCCAAGCTCAAGTGAGGTAGCTCGTGTGCTGCTTGATGTGGGGATTTTCTGTTCGGACTCCGCGCGTGCTAGGGACTCCGCGAAGAATCACTGGCCCGACCGATTCGCCGCGTAAGGCTCTATTAGGCGCATTCCTGCGCGGTGTTTGCAGGCACAAGAGGCGCTGCAACGCAAGCGACTCAAACACCTCAGTGTGACCGCTAGCAACACGGATACAATGCGAGAAAATATCCGGGCGAAGAACCCAACCCCCTCTGAAACCCGAGGCGATGAAAAGCAAGACCCCGCCCAAGACACGAGAACACATGGATGGATCTGCAATGCGCCTGGACGCTTCGCCAATTACCTGACTATGGGGCCACGAAATGCGTGAGTGGTGTAGGCGCGTGTGTGAGCGTGTGTCGCAACTCCGGCGCCGCCGCTCGAGACATCCTCGCAACTCCAGCGCCGCCGCTCGAGACATCCTCGCAACTCTGGCGCCGCCGCTCGAGACATCCTCGCGATTCTGGCGCCGCCGCACGAGACGCCCTCGCAACTCAGGCGTCGCCTCTCGAGTCCTGGGGGAAGGACGGGTCGCCTTGGGGGCCCTCTCTGGCACCTCTGAGAGCTCTCTTGAATCATCCTGGCGCCCTCTTGGGAGCCCTCTCGGGCTCGTCTTGCAGCTCTCTTGGGCCATCTTGACGCCCACTTGACGCCCTTTCTCAGGCTTCTGTTGAAGCTGTCTGAGGTCGTCTGAGGCCGGTCCTGGAATCTCTCGTCGAGCGCCTCTTGGAGCTCTCTCGGGTCGTCATGAGGGACTTTCTGGAAACCCTTTGGGCCGTCTTGGGGGCTCTATTAGGCTCCTCTTGGAGCCCTTTTGGGCCGTTTCGGAGGCACCCGAAAAGCTTGAATTAAGCACCTCCTCCTCCTCCTCCTCCTCCTCCTCCTCCTCCTCCTCCTCCTCTCCTCCTCCTCCTCCTCCTCCTCCTCCTCCTCCTCCTCCTCCTCCTCCCTCTTAGTATTCTTCTTCTTCATCCTCCACCACCACCACCACCCCCTCCTCCTCCTCCTCCTCCTCCTCCTCCTCCTCCTCCTCCTCCTCCTCCTCCTCCTCCTCCTCCTCCTCCTGCTCTTCCTCGTCCTCCTCCTCCTCCTCCCCTCCTCCTCGTCCTCCTCCTCCTCCTCCTCCTCCTCCTCCTCCCTCCTCCTCCTCCTACTCCTCCTCCTTCCTCCTCCTCCTCCTCCTCCTCCTCCTCCTCCTCCTCCTCCTCCTCCTCCTCCTCTCCTCCTCCTCCTCCTCCTCCTCCTCCTCCTCCTCCTCCTCCTCCTCCTCCTCCTCCTCCTCCTCCTCTCCTCCTCCTCCTCCCCTCCTCCTCCTCCTCCTCCTCCTCCTCCTCCTCCTCCTCCTCCTCCTCCTCCTCCTCCTCCTCCTCCTCCCTCCAACCTCCCGCTTGGCGGGCCTTGCGGCGCCGCCTCGCCAGCCCATCCAGAGAAGACTGCCAGGCGAGCTGCCTTGATCAGGAACGTGCAGGCTTTGTGCCGCGAACGCCCGGCGTCCCCGCTGGGCGTTCGCGGCGAACCGCCGAACTGCCCTCTCGTGCATCTTACTTCTGGGCCATCTTGGGGCCTTCTTGAGGCCCTGGGTGAGCGCAAAATCTGCACGTTCCTGATCAAGGCAGCTCGCCTGGCAGTCTTCTCTGGATGGGCTGGCGAGGCGGCGCCGCAAGGCCCGCCAAGCGGGAGGCTGGAGGGAGGCGGAGGAGGAGAAGGAGGAGGAGAAGGAGGAGGAAGAGGAGGAGGACGAGGACGAGGAGGAGGAGGAGGAGAAGAAGAAGGGGTGCTTAATTAAAGTTTTTCGGGTGCTTCCGAAACGGCCCAAAAGGGCTCCAAGAGGAGCCCAATAGAGCCTCCAAGACGGCCCAAAGGGTTTCCAGAAAGCCCCTCATGACGACCCGAGAGAGCTCCAAGAGGCGCTCGACGAGAGATTCCAGGACCAGCCCCAGATGACCCAAGAGACAGCTTCAACAGAAGTCTGAGAAAGGGCGTCAAGTGGGCGTCAAGATGGCCCAAGAGAGCTGCAAGACGAGCCCGAGAGGGCTCCCAAGAGGGCGCCAGGATGATTCAAGAGAGCTCTCAGAGGTGCCAGAGAGGGCCCCCAAGGCGACCCCTCTGCAGAGGACTCGAGAGGCGACGCCTGAGTTGCGAGGGCATCTCGTGCGGCGGCGCCAGAATCGCGAGGATGTCTCGAACGGCGGCGCCGGAGTTGCGAGGACGTGTCGAGCGGCGGTGCCAAAGTTGCGAGGATGTCCCGAGGCGGCGCCGGATTTCCGAGGATGTCTCGAGCGGCGGCGCCGGAGTTGCGAGGATGTCTCGAGCTGCGGCGCGGGAGTTGAGACACACGCACACACACACACACACACACACACACACACACGCGCGCCTACACCCCTCATACATTTCGTGGCCCCATTGTGAGGTAATTGGCGCATTGCAGATCCCTCCATGTGTTCTCGTGGCTTGGGCGGGGTCTTGCTTTTAATCACCTCGTGTTTCAGAGGGCGTTTGGGTTACGGGCATTTCCCGCCACACGGGCTCCCGTCCCCCAGACATCTGGCGCCTCGAACAAATCGGCGCGTCCGGTGCTTCACCATGTTTGACATCTGGAGCCTTGGGGGAAGGGGTCAAGAGGTCAAGGGGCCCACGCATCGACAAAAAAAACGGAGCCTCGGATGTCTCGGCATTCCGACGGCTCAAGACGGCCCAAGGGGCCCCCAAGATCACCCCAAGATTGCCCACGAGGCCTCCCAGATGGCCCCATGACGGCCCAAGACGGCCCCCAAGACGGCCCCAAGAGGGCCCCAAGACGACCCAAGAGGCCTCCAAGACGGCCCTGGAGCACCCCAGGAGGGCCCAAGTCGGCCCAGAGAGGCCCCCAAGACGATTTCCGACGGCGTCAGACAGGCCAGGAACGTCCTAAGATGGGCAAAGAGGCCCCCGAGAAGCCTCCAAAGGTCTCCAGGAGGCCCGAGGAGACCCCCAAGATGCCTCCAAGGGGCTCCCAGGAAGCTCCCAAGAGGCCCCAAGAGTGCCCCCGGGCCCCCAGAGGATCCCAAGATGCCCTCTCCTCCTCCTCCTCCTCCTCCTCCTCCTCCTCCTCCTCCTCCTCCTCCTCCTCCTCCTCCTCCTCCTCCTGATCTTTCCCGTCATCCTCTCCCAAGTGTTCCCAGAAAGGTTTCCACAACGGCTGGAGAAGCACATGGTCAGATAGCTAGGCAGAGCTTTTGCCACAACGCTCGGCCACATGGGCGATTCCAAAAGGCAGGGGGGGCGGTGATTCGCCGTAGGCGTCATCGATAAGACCACTCGGAGAACACGCGTTCACCCAACAAGTGCGCCTCGCCAGAACCCGCAAACGAAGCATTGGCCACTTGCGCGCGCCCCCGCACACGCAGGCACAAGACAGCAATTGCGCGAGCCAGTTCGCTGCACACGCACATGTGCCCGGACATGTGACGCCGAACTTTGTTCAGGACGGCGTCCCTGGCAGTCCCAGCCCTTTTCCCGGGGCCGGTTTTTCGTCCTGAATCGTTTGGACGGTCACGAGGCCCGGCGAGGGCCCCCCAGGGCCGAAGATAGCCAAAAATCCCCCGTCTGGATTTGTTTTACGACGCGATCATGTCTGGGTGTGTGTGTGTGTGAATATATATATATATATATATATATATATATATATATATATACATATCATGCATATCTACATATATACATGTATACGTACACACATATACATATATATGTGTGTACGTATACATATATGCACACACACACATGTGTCTTCCACAACCGTGAAAGACCCATGCTGCTTCAGCTCCTGCGCACAAGGCGCTGGGCCACACGCGGGCACCCGGCCCCTCGCAGGGCCGGTCCTGGGCTCGAAGTCGACCTGTGCATGTGCTGCTCACCGGTCCTGGGCCCGAGGCCGACCCGTCCAGGATCAGAGCCTGCGTACAGTCAACCTCCTCCTCCTCCTCCTCCTCCTACTCCTCCTCCTCCTCCTCCTCCTCCTCCTCCTCCTCCTCCTCCTCCTCCTCCTCCTCCTCCTCCTCCCCTCCTCCTCCTCCTCCTCCTCCTCCTCCTCCACCTCCTCCTCCTCCTCCTCCTCCTCCTCCTCCTCCTCGTCCTCCTCCTCCTCCTCCTCCTCCTCCTCCTACTCCTCCTCTCCTCCTCCTCCTCCTCCTCCTCCTCCTCCTCCTCCTCCTCCTCCTCCTCCTCCTCCTCCTCCTCCTCCTCCTCCTCCTCCTCCTCCTCCTCCTCCTCCTCCTCCTCCTCCTCCTCCTCCTCCTCCTCCTCCTCCTCCTCCTCCTCCTCCATCCATCTTCCCCTCCTCCTCCTCCTCCTCCTCCTCTCCTCCTCCCCTCCTCCTCCTCCTCCTCCTCCTCCTCCTCCTCCTCCCTCCTCCTCCGTCCCTGCCTCCGCCTCCTCCTATCCTCCTCCTCCTCCTCCTCCTCTCCTCCTCCTCCTCCTCCTCCTCCTCCTCCTCCTCCTCCTCCTCCTCCTGCTCCCCGTTCTTCCCCCAACCTTGCAGTGCCAGCGGTGAGGATGCAAGAGCCTCAACAGAAAAGGGCCAGCTTTCGGCGCGCGACTCGCTGAACTCGTACGCAGCACCTCTGTTGTTGTGCCAGTGCGTCGATGATCACGTGCAGGGCCCCACGCGCGCGCCTGTCGGAACCATTCGGCAATCATCGCGCGCCCGCCAAGCCTGTAAAAGTCGACCATAGAGATCACACGCGCGCGTTACCGCGAGCGCACGTCGAAACCCGTCCGACAATCATTGAAACAATTAGGCACAGAGAGGCTTCCACATATACACACACAAGTATGCAGAAACACATGGTTCGTCAGTACGAATCCCGTCGGGATGTCTGAATCCCTGCGCACGAGTACTTCCTCATCATCCTCACGGGCACCACCATTAGCAGCATGGGCAGTATGTTAATTGCAACATAATATTACTGTAAAATACTCTATAAACTCTCATCTCCCCTACTATGCTCTGCTCTACTCTACTCGACCCTATTATATCAGATCATTCTCGACTGTACCCTACCATCGGCCCTACTTTATTATACTCGACCCTACTATCATATGCTCTACTCTACCCGACTTTCTACTCGACTCTCTACTCTCCTCTACTCTAATCCTGCTCTACTACTCTACTCTACTCTACTCTACTCGACTCCTAGTATACCCAATTCTACTCTGCTTTGCTCTACTCCACTCTACTCTAATCCACTCCTATTATACTCTACTCTACTCGACTCTACTCCACTCTACTACAATGTACTCCGCTATACTGTACTCTACTCTACTGCTCTACCCGACTCCTGATCTACGCACAAACTCACCTCTATTCCACCATACTCTGCTCTACGCGACCTTACTCCCACCCGCTTCTGAATTTGACGATTGTTTGACGATTGTTGCGATTCCATTGGAATTGTCACAGGAAGTCATTGCAATAGCAGAGGAAGCCATTGCAACAGCAAAGGAAGCCATTGCATTGGCCGAGGAAGCCACCGCAATAGCAGAAGAAGCGACTGCAAAAGTTTTACGCAAAATAGAGGGGGGGTCTCAGTGGACCAGTGCATGGAGCTAGGACTCCTGTACGCAAGCCACTTTTGAGGAGGACAAAAAAAACATAACAAAAGAATCCTCGAGGACCGAGGGATCGAGGGGAAGGAGGCGAGGAGGGAGAAACAGGAAGAGGAACGAAGAAGCAGGAGGGGGGATGACCAGCAGTGCACGCCCCTGCCTGGAGTTGTCCGCCAGAGCCCTGAGGAAATCGGGGGAGCTGGTGAAGTAATCCGTCGGGTAGTGGGAGAAGACCACGAGCGACCTGGCCGTGGACTCCTTCTGGCGGCGTGCCAGGAGGGCGCCAATGGGGCGCGGGGCTGACGACAGAGACTCCAGAGACCTCCAGAACCCACCCGAGATCCGCCCAGAGACCCCCCCCCAGACCCCTGGAGACCTCCGGTAGAGCAAAGGGGGCCTCCTGATGAGCAAGCGGGAGGCTCCTCAGAAGGGGCCAGGAAGAGTAGACGGGGCTTCTTAGCGGGCCGAAGAGCTTTAGATACCCCCCCACACTGCCCAGCTAAGAGGCCACCCCTCGCACCAACCCCCTGCTGGGCGTCGTCGGCGGTCCTTAGTGCGCTTGAAGAACAGGTCCAGAGCCTCCAGGGTACGGTTCCTGATGGCTTTGACGCACTTGGCGACGCAGCCGGTGTGTGCGCACTCCCCGAAAACCAGTTCAGCTGGCCCTCTCGCGTCGGTCTGGACGCTGGCGTCGCAGAAGTTGTTCAGGTCCAGGCCCACGATCTCGATGCCGATTTCCTAGAATGACAAAAAGAAAAACAGCATGGGCAGACTTGGTAGATCGGCGCTGGACACCCTCTCTGGCGCGCGGAGCGCGCCAGGAGGACCCATCGCCGATCCAGGAACTGCGCGCGGACCTCCGAAAGTCTGTGTCTGAGTCGTTTTCTTCTTCCGGGATGTCTGGAAAGGCCCTGAAGTAGCTGGTGCCGGGCATCTGGAAGTACTCGAGGTTCTGCTCGTCGTAATTCACCTGCGCGCACTCTGCCTCCACGTCGGCGCACGCGCAGGGGTCCGACCGGTAGTCGTGGTTCCCGTACACGCTGTACCAGGGAACGCTGCGGAGCTGCTCGCTGTAGATCCATCGCCACGCCTCTGCGCCGCAAGAAGGCATCCACATTCCACAGCTGCTGGAATCCTGCCCTTGATCCGAGGGGAGCGGTGAATGTGGATGTTTTTCCGCGCTCCCGGGCAAGAACAGATCTTTGGTGTCCGTTCCATGGGAGACGGCGTGGCCCCTGACGCTGTCCGATCTGGGCTTGACTTGGGCCAAACATTGGGAACACATTTGGGACCGACCGCAGGGGAGACGGAGAGAACGAGGAGGGGTGGAGTAAGAGCAGAAATGGCGAGGAGGAGCAGGAGGAGGGGCCGAAGGCGGTCCCAACGCGGTCCAAATGAAAAGCTGGCTTCGGTGTCGCCGCCCACGGCTCCCACGAACGGACATCGAGCAAGTCCACACCCACCGCTCCTGGAGGGAGCCTCGAGGTTCCCAGGCCCGACTCCAAAGCGATGGATGCGGGCAGATTCGAGCGGTGGGGCCTTGTCCCACTTCTCGTCGTCCCTGTCGAGGACGCCGCTGTCTTTGAAGGAGTCGCCGACGTTCACCACGAACTTCACGTTCCCAAGCTCGCTCATCTTGGCGTCCATCGCCCTCGCGACGGCCATCCTGCACCTCATCGAGCCCACGTGACTGCCTCCTTTGGCTCCCAGGTCACCGACGACCAGGAAGGAGCCCCGCCTCACGGGAGGTGTCTTCGCCAGGCCTGGCGTCCGGGGCCCCAAGGCGCGGCAGGACCAGCTCTCGTCCGCGCGGTCCTCTGGCTGGGGTCCGGGCGTGCAGTCCGGCTTGCAGGAGCTCCAGCCTGGGCTCTTGGAGTAGCACTGGTGGCCATCCTGACTGCAGCACTTTGTCACGTCGCAGTTTTCGCCACTGGCCGAGCACTGCGTCCTGACCCATGCTGGCGCCACCAGGCCCGTGACGCTCGGCTCCAAGACCGTCCCTGGCGTGCGTGGTCCGATCTCTTCGCAGCTCCAACTCATCCCATCGACGTCGGTCAAGTCTGGGCCCGGCATGCAGGAGGGCTTGCACTGGGCCAGCGACGTGTTCTTAGCGTAGCACTGCATGCCCTCCTCGCTGCAGCACCTGGTCATCTGGCAGTTGTCCTTACCCGAGGAGCAGTACTGCTTCGCCCAACTTGGTACAGGCATGCCCGTCCAGTTCACCTTTGCCACTCGGCCAGGCGTCCGTTGCCCAAGCTCCCGACAAGACCAGATCGAGCGCTCGAGATAGGCGGACATGTCCGGACCAGCACGACACTCTGCCCTGCACGCCGCCTCCCCGGGGCTCTTCTCGTAACACTGCTCGCCGGCCCCGACACAGCAGCGACTCTCAGCACAGTTTTCCCCCGAGATCGCGCAAGGCGGCGGCGGGACTGGAGTGGGAGCTGCAGTGGGAGCTGGAGTGGAAGCTGGGGTGGGAGCTGGAGTGGTAGGCGGCGGCGGGACTGGGGTGGGAGCTGCAGTGGTAACCCTCTCGGTCGTCGATGCCGCCACGTCTGGCATCACTGCGATCCCGTTTAAGCCCTCGCCAGCCATCGCATCCACGCCTGGCATCGCTGGAGTAGAAGCCTTCCCGGGAACTGCCGCCGCGTCTGGAGTCGCTGCGACCCCATTGAAGTCCGTGCCAGCTGCTGCCGCCACGCCCACCATCGCCGCGCCACTGCCGCCCTGGCCATCGGGGTCCAACGACTCGCCTGCGGCTGCGCTGCGCCCTGTTGGCGCGACGAGCCTGTCCGGCATGGCCACATTGGGCCACGCCGCCGTTACGTTGGCGGTGGCCGCGCCCCCTATCGGTTCCTCGAGGGTGCGCTCCGAGACCTCTGCCGGTGCGCTCGAGCTCTGCTGGCGCCGCTGCAGATCGGTCACCAGGGCGCCGAGCCAAACCACGACTACGCCCCCAATCAGCCCAAGCGACAGAGCGTATTTCATGCCCCCGAGGTGCGACCACAAGGTCGCCTCAGGTCCTGCACGCTGCACGGATCGGCTGTTGCTGCTGTGCCGGCGCCTGCCGTGCCCCTCCTCGACGGAACCGCCGTAAGGATCGCCAAGATCTGTGCCATCCCGATCGTGGCTCGGAGCCTTGGAGGAGTCCTGGAGCAGGGGGCCCGCCCCGTCGTCAAAGTCCGCCGAGCCCTTCTCAGGTCGGGGCGCATGTGAAGCTCTCCTCTTGCCTCCATCTGAACCCCTCCTCCGCAGTTTGGAGGGGCGGCTCGGGTTCACTGGACGGGGGAGAGTGTGGGATGGGCTCACCAAGAAAAGGTCCGAGCGAAAATCTTTCCCCAGTACGGCCTCAAGACAGACCACGAGAGCCCCGGGAAGCCGCCAGGATAGCAAAAAAAACCTGTGAGAGTGCAGTAGGTTCTATACCGCTCCAAGTGGCACACGGGAGGTATCGAAAGAGGCTCCAAGATGCCCAAGGAACCGCACGTAAAAGAAAACGATTAACAATGTGAACTGAGTGCGTGTGTGTTGTTTTCAGCGCCATTTGCCCCATGACGGCCGTGAGAGTGTTCCTCCTCCTCCTCCTCCGTCTCCTCCTCCTCCTCTTCCTCCTCCTCCTCCTCGTCCTCCTTTTCCTCCTCCTCCTCCTCCTCCTCCTCGTCCTCCTCTTCCTCCTCCTCCTCCTCCTCCTCCTCCTCCTCCTCCTCAAAACTCCCCAACAGCGACCCAGAGCTTACAAGGACGATCGGACCTTGAGACGGCCCAGCTGAGCCCCGAGAACTTACCAGGACGGTCCAAGAGGGCCCCTGATACTGCACGGAGATGAGCCAAGAGAGGCCAGGGACTGCCCAAAGACGGCCACACAAACCGCTATGGCAGCAGCACACGGCGTCGAGACGGCCGAGCAGATGGCTCAAGACATCAACCCAAGAGGGCTCCAGGACACCCCAGACAGCACAAGCAGATCATGGTTCAAAGCAAGAGCCACTACAAAGTCCTGTCAGTGTCCTTCCTTTATGTGTTTATTTCTCTCTCTCTCTCTCTTTCTCTTTCTCCGTCTCTCTCTCTCTCTCTCTCTCTCTCTATCTCTCTCTCCCTATATATATATATATATCCCTTGTTTGTGTCTCTCTCTCTCTCTGTTTCTCTCATTCTATATATATATATATATATATGTCCCTCTCCCTCTCTCTCTCACCCTCCCTCTCCCTCTCTCTCACTCTATGTGCGTCTACATATATATATATATGTCGCTCATGCTCTCTCTCTCTCTCTCTCTTTCTCCCGGTCTCTCTCTCTCTCTCTCTCTCCCTATTTTCTTTCTCTCGTTATATGTAGTTATCTCTCTCTCTCTCTCTCGCTGTCTCCCTCTCTCTCTCTCTATCGCTCCTTATGTCTCTCTCTCTCTCTCTCTCGCAAAATACATATATATATATATGTATATAGATGTATAGATGTGTCTATGTTCCAATATCACTCTCTCTCTCTCTCTCTCTCTCTCTCTCCCTCTCTGTGTTACTGTCATTAAATATTATATCGCTCTCCCTCTCTCCCTCTCTCTCACCCCCACGTCCTATTGCTCTCTCTCTCTCTGTCTCTCCTTCTCTCTCTCCTTCTCTCTCTCTCTCTCTTTCCCCTCTCTCTCTATATATAGTATCTCTCTTTCTGTCTCTCTATCTCTCTCTCTCTCTCTCTCTCTCTCTCCCCCCCCCCGGGTTTTAAGATTTTCTCTCTGTCTCTCCATTGCTATCACTCTCTCTCTCTCTCAATCGCTCTCTCTCTCTCTCTCCTCTCTCTCTCTCTCTCTCTCTCTCTTTCTCTATCCTTATGTTTCGTTTTCTCTCTCTCTCTCTCTCCTTCTCTCTCTCTCTCTCTCTCTCTCTCTATGTTTCTCTCTCTCTCTCTCTCTCTCTCCCTCTCTGTTTGTCTCACTCTCTCTTTCGCTCTCTCTTTCTCTCCTCTCTCTCTCTCTCTCTGTATTATTCCTCTCTCTCTCTATCTATCTCTCTCTCTCTCTCTCTCACTCGCACCACCCTCGGCGCGCCAGCGGGCGAGTCGAGGCTCGGCCGCTGACGCACAGCGCACGCCCGCGGGGGCGCGGCAGCCTCTCGCCGCCAGCCCGCGCAACAGGACGGCCAGCTCGCAAGCTACGCCGCCAAGGCACTCATCACTCCGGACGAGTCGCCCGACGGAGCCTGCCAGGACCACGTGGCGACGAGGACCCAAGACAGGGCACTGACAGGAGCGAGCGCCATCCGAGACCCGCACGGGTCGCGGAAGCCACACGCCCCACCCCCGCGGGGACGGCCCAGCCCACCCAAGAGCCCAGACCAGAGACTCCAAACAGCACTCTGGAAACCACGGAGAGGCTGCCAGAGCGCGCCCCCGAAACGACCCCGAACCCGACCAGGAAACCCGAGCCGAGTCCAGCAGGAGCGCACGCACCTCCGAGCGCCGCCCACAGGCCGCCAGACGCCTCGCAGCACCGCACCAAAGTGGGCGAGCAGGTCAGCGCTTCCGCCCCAGCCGCTGCGAGGCCTTGGGCTTCCGCCGCTCCCTCGAAGCGCCCAACGCCGCTCCTTGCTCATGGCGTCCAACGCCGCTCGCAAGTCGCCGTCGGCCTCGGGGGCCACGAGGCCACAACCTGCCAAGGATTCCCTGGCATTGGCGAGCCACTCGTCCGCGGTGCCGGCCCTCTTCAGGAAAGATGGGCGGCACGGTGGCCACAGCCCTCCGCCGTGCCGCCGCGCGGCTGCGCGCCTCCTGCTGGACGGAGGCCTGGGAGGCGATCCACATGCCGTTCCGACCGTCCTCCGCCTCCGAAGGTCGACCGCGAGGTCAGCCCAGCTCCCGCCAGGCGCGGCCTCCGCGTCCACCTCGGCGTCGCCGCCGCCGTGGGAGCCCTCCTCTGCATCATGGAAGGCGTCGCCGTCCGCCTCCGTCGCGTCGCACTCGCCCTCCAAGTGGGCCGTCAGCTCGTCACCCGCCGCCGCTGGAAAACCCGCCACCCCACCAGCCGCCGATGCCCCAGCCGCCGCAGCCGCCGACAAACCCCCAGCCTCCGATGCCCCAGCCGCAGTCTGGCCCCCCTCGGCCGTCATGCAGGCATCGATCTGCTGCTCGCCCTTCAGCCTCTTCTCCCAGTCGGTGAGCTCGCCGATGCCTTCGGCCGCCGTCCGCTCCGAGTCGTCACGCTTGTCGGTGAGCTCCACCGCCGACTTCTGCATCACGTTGAGGCCCTCGTCGCACTCCACGTACGTGCCCTCGTCAACGTGCGCGCCCTCGACCGCTGGCAAGCCAGAGGAGGCCTCCATCGCAAGCTCATCGTCGGAGCTGGTGACGAAGTGATGCTCCCCGTACTCGGCCTTGCCGCTGCAGAACGTGTCGTCCGTGGAGCAATCCACCATCTGCTGCTCGACCCCCTCCGGCACGAGCAGCTCCGCGGGCGGCGCCGTGGTGCCGGCCTTGCTCGTGAGCCAGCCCCGGAGCTTGACCACCACGGCCTCCGCCTCACGGGGGTGGCGCAGGAAAGCGCCAGCTGCGTCCAGGCACCTGCAGCTGCGCTCAAGATCCCCCTTCATGCGCTCCCCTCGGGAGCGATGCTCGGCCATCCCTGCAGACAGCGTCCAGCCGCCCAGCAGGGCCGCCAGCTCCGCCGCCGCGCCGAACACAGCCTGCGCACGGGCGCCGAGCGCGGGGCGGGCCAGGCGGCGCCGCCGCCTCCGCTGCCGCACCCGCGCGCGCTGCTGGCGCCTCCTCTGGCACCGACATGGCGGCCGCCGAACTCGCTGCCTGGAGCCGCAGCATAAGCTCAGCAGCCACTTCCACCAACGGCGCCGATGCCACGGTGACCCCGTGACGGACGGAGATGACACTGCGCCCGCCTCGCCCCATCGGCACCGCCTCGCGCGCCCGAGCCCGACGCGGCCTGGCGCTCGCCGAGCGCCCCGTGCGGATCCAGCACCCCAGTCAGATCCTGAGCCCGCATGGCTACGGACACTATCTCTCTCACTCTCCTTTTTTCTCTCTCTCTCTCTCTCTCTCTCTTTCTTTCTCTCTCTCTCTCTCTCTCTCTCTCTGTCTACATATTGAAATATCTATACGGCCACCCTTCGGGTGATAAGGAGGTTGTGAGGGGGGAGAGGGGGGAACCAACATCTGACTCAATCGATCTCACTATCGATCTCATTCAACGGGACACCACGGGACACCACGGGACACCACGGGACACTTGTCGATCTCACTATCAACCTCACTATCGATCTCATTCCATGGGACACCACGGAACACCACGGGACACCACGGGACATCACGGGACACCGCGGGACACCTCTCGAGCTCACTATCGGTCTCACTATCGATCTCACTACTGATCTCACTATCGATCTCACTCAACGGGACACCACGGGACATCACGGGACACCGCGGGACACCTCGGGACACCACATCGATCTCAGTATCGATCCCACTATCGATCTCACACCACATTACACCACGGGACACCACGGGACACCTGTCGATCTCACTATCGATCTCACTATCGATCTCATTTTTTTCGAAAAAAAACGGGACACTTCGGGGCACCACATCGAACTCAGTATCGATCTCACTCAACGGGGCACCACGGGACACCACGGGACACCACGGGACACTTGTCGATCTCACTATCGATCTCACACAACGGTACACTACGGAACACCTCGGGTCACCACATCGATCTCAGTATCAATCTCACTATCGATCTCACTATCGATCTCACTATAGATCTCACTATCGACCTCACTCAACGGGACACCAAGGGACAGCACGGGCCGCCACGGGACGCCACGGGACACCACGGGACACCTCGGGGCACTACATCGATCTCACTATCGATCTCACTATCGATCTCACTATCGATCTCAATTTCGATCTCACTATCGATCTCACTCCACGGGACACCGCGAGACACCACGGGACACCACGAGACACCGCGGGACACCGCGAGCCACCGCCAGACGGACGGACGGACGGACGGACGGGTGGGGGAGAATCATTTGTCTTGACTTCGCCCTAGCAACGGCGGACACCACGAGACACCACGGGACACCACGGGACACCGCGGGACACCGCGAGCCACCGCCGAACGGACGGACGGACGGGCGGGAAGGGGAGAACCATTTGTCCTGACTTCGCCCTAGCAACGGCGGGTTCATTCCTCTCGCGCGCCGACGCAGCGTCGCCTCGCCCGCACGCACGACACGAACGAAACGAGACGATTTCCCTGTTGGGGGTCTCCGTCACACTGCGATCTCACCCCCCCACCTCCGATATATGAATACCCATACGACCACCCTTCGGGTGATAAGCAGGTTGTGGGGGAGGGGAGATGGAGGGGGGACCAACATCTGACTCAATCGATCTCACTATCGATCTCACTCAACGGGACACCACGGGACACCACGGGACACCACGGGACACCTGTCGATCTCACTATCGATCTCACTATCGATCTCACTCAACGGGACACCACGGGACACCACAGGCCACCACGGGACACCACGGTACACCGCGGGACACCTCTCGAGCTCACTATCGGTCTCACTATCGATCTCACTATCGATCTCACTCAGCAGGACACCATAGGACCCCACGGGACACCACGGGACACCACATCGATCTCACTATCGATCTCACGATCGATCTCACTCAGCGGGACACCACGGGACACCAAAGGACACCTGTTGATCTCACTATCGATCTCACTATCGATCTCACTTTTCGGGACATCACGGGACACCTCGGGGCACCACGTCGATCTCACTATCGACCTGACTATCGATCTCACTATCGATCTCACTATCGATCTCACTATCGATCTCACTTTCGATCTCACTCAACAGGACACCACGGGACACCACGGGACACCACGGGACACCACGGGACACCACGGGACACCACGGGACACCGCGGGACACCGCGAGCCAATCGCAGGACGGATGGACGGACGGGCGGGCGGGGGAGAATCAACGGGGCACTTCCAACGGGGCACTTACTTCAGTGAAAGGAGTCGTTGTAGAAACCTACAGAGGAAGGAGCTTGGGGGAAGGGTTCATTGCAACATCGTTAGTGCGTCTTGGCTTTACACCGGTTCACCTCCTCATCCTCCTCCTTCCTCTCCTGTTTCCACCCGCTCGTCCTGTTCCTCTTGCCTCCCCAAAGTGTTCCCCCAAGGGTTCACAACGGCTGGGGGAACACACAGTGCGACAGCGTGGCCGAGCTCTGGCCAGAACGCTGGGCCACAAAGGCGCTTCACAAAGGCATGGGGGGGCGGTGGTTCGTCACAAGCGTCTTCAAAATGCATACATGTATATGAATATGCAGTTTGTGAATGTATGTCTGTACGTATTACAGTTTGTGAATGTATATACAGGTGGTATGCGTGCATGTATACATGTATACATTCACACATGTACGTACATACGCACGTGCATGTAGGAAAACATGTACACGTTGCGTACATGCATACATACATGCATGCATGCATGCACGCACGCATACATACCTACATTTACATGCAGGTATGCACGCATGCATCCATACATGCTTACACACATGCATACGTACATACATACGTACATACATGCATGCATACGTACATGCATGTACACACACAAACACATGCGCATACACACATACACATACACATAGACATGGACATACACATGCACATACACAGACACGTACACATACACATACACATACACGTACACGTGCCCATGCACATACACATACGCATGCATATACACATACACACAGAAATGTAGACACGCATGCATACATAACTAAATACATACATACAGACGTACATGCGTGAAAACATAAAATTATAGGTATACGTCCACACAAACACGCGTACATTCAGGCATATCTGCATGCATGCATGCCTATGTACACGCATGGATGCACTGAAGCATACATGCTTCTACTCTTTATGTGTGTACAAGCACACACGTTTAAAGGAGAACCTTCCTCGCCTCCTCCTCATCCCCCTCCTCTCCTAACCCTCCTCCTCTCCTAACCCTCCTCATCCTCATCCCCCTCGTCCCCCTCTTTCTCATTCTCCTCGTCCTCATCCTCCGTCCTCCTCTCTCCCTCTCCTGCTCCGTGCCAGCGTCCTCGACCGACGGCCCGGGGAGTGGCCAACCCGCCACCTGCGAAGAATCAGAGGGTCGGCGGAAGCGGTTGGCGCTGGCCGACCGGAGGACCCTGCGGCCACGCGGGCTGTGCGGGGGGCTGCCACGGCTTGGTGCGGCGGCCGCGCGGGCTGTTCGTGGGGCTGGCCGTGGGGGTGTGCGAGCGGCTGCCCTCGAAGCTGCGCGGGGGGGTGCGCGGGGGGGTGCGCTGGCCGCGCGAGCTGCGCTGCGGCGTGTCCCGAGACCTCGCGTCGCGGGACTGGCGCGCCGAGAGGGCAGGGCTGCGCGAGCCCGTGGTGCCCGCCGCCCTGCCCCTGCCAGCACGGCCCGAACCGCCCCTCTGGCTCCACATTCTGGCGCGCTGCCGCGCAGTGGGTGCCACGCCGGGGGCGCGGCTCGGGCCAGGGTGGTTGCGGGGGGAAGAGGGCGAGGAAGAGGAGAGCGACGACAGGACGGGAGAAGGAAGGGGGAGGCAGGCACGTCCAGGCCATCAGGACAAGAGGGCCTGCCCAGCACGACCCCGACGGACGACGACGCGACGACTATATCCCGCCTCCCCCTACCCTCCCCTCCTCCTCTTGCTCCTCCTCCTCCTCCTCCGTCTCCTCCTCCTCCTCCTGTTCCTCCTCCTCCTCCGGCTACTACTCCACCTCCTCATCAGCATCATCATAGGCATCCGCATCATCATCATCATCATCATCATCATCATCATCATCATCATCAGCAGCATCATCAGCCGCAACATCATCATAGGCATCAGCATCAGCATCAGCATCATCATCGTCATCATCGTCATCATCGTCATCATCATCAGCATCAAAAGCATCACCATTACATCCACCATCACGATCACCATCATCGTCATCATCATCGTCGTCATCCTCAACAACAGCAGCATCATCCTCCTCCTCATGCTCATCCTCTTTCTCCTCCTCTTCAACTCCTCCTCCTCCTCCTCTTCCTCCTCCTCTTCCTCCTCCTCCTCCTCCTGCGCCCCCACCTGAGGCAGTGTCCGATGGTTACATCAGTGCCTCTTAAGGAGTCGGGCCAGGCGAGAGCAACTCTCCCGTGACCCCTGGCTTGACCCCTTCCACCAGCCCTGGGCTGGTGGGCACAAAATACAAAATTGGAAAGAAAAAAGAAAGGCCTGGGATCCAGCTCGAAAATTTGGCCACCCTCCCCCTGGCAAGCTCGACCGACGAACCCAGCGGGCAGTCGTCGGTGGGCGGTCGGGAGGAGGAAAGGTGGTGGCACCTTCAAGCCTCCTTCTCGTCAGGCCACTGCTTTACTCCCTTGGGCTTCTTGCCCTGATCTATCTGTTGAAGGGTCAATCTCCCCTCCTTGTTGAGACCTGGATCACAAGGGCTAGATAACTTCAAGAAACGCATACTGCCCTGCGCTGCACACGCCCTGCAACACCACAGGCCTCTGTGCTGCCCCGGTCTGTGCGAGCTGTGGATAGCAAAAGTTTTCTTTTCACATGCCTCCCCACAAAATTGAATCAACCCAACATTGCTGGTAGATCTTAAACAAAGCTTACACTTGAAACCTTTGTTAGTCTGCTCTAAAACATGGGAGGTCCCTCGGGTCGCCGCCCCTCGAGCCTCGCATTGGGCCTTGGCGTTGTGTTTCTTCCTGGCGGCGACGTCCCCTCTGAGAGTGGTTCCATACAAATATGCGGCCTGCTTGGCCACCTCAAAACCGATGGCAATGAGCCTCTTCTGGGCTCTCGCGAATGCGTCCGCTTCTCTGACCTGGAAAACTAAAGCCACACTGGGTGCTGCGTCCTTCGCCGCTTCCTCCGCCCTTATGTCGGCTTCGGCGTTGGCATACCAGTGTGTCTCACTGGTTGATATCCCTATCTCGGATTCACTCAGGCGGCCTTTAACTTTAAAAGTACGAACATCGGCCCTCTCGGGCCTGGGTCTCCGTCCAAAACTCGACCCACATATGTGCATTAGAATGGTGAACTGCCGTGGGTCCCTGGTGGGTCCCCTTGATTACATAACTTGCGTATACTCCGACTGTGACATCCCCTGTTGTTGGCTGTAGGGTTCGAATTACTGCTAGCAGCTCTGCTCTCGGCAGTCTGTCTTGGCCCCGCTACACTACCTCGCTTGGCCGCCTTGACCTCCTCTCCGACACAGACGACGAACGACCGCCCAGCTCTTCGGAGTCTGGCGTCTCGCGAGTGCTCACCTCCTGACCCATCGGAACCTGCGACGGTGCCTGGAGGGAGCGGTAGACGGTTCGATTCTGGCCACCCCCCTTCGAGCGTGACCTCTTCTATTGGAAACGGGAGACCTGCCCCTGTCATGGCCCACAAGATTGGGGCCAGACCCCTAAGCCAACAACAGGGGTACCTACGTGCCCCTTCTACTAACTGGGCCACTAGGTCGCGGTCTTCACTAAGTTCTGGAACGTCGCTATTGCTCGAGCACTCCCAGAACTGGTGGGACAGGCTCTCTTCTAGGGCTCCACATCTAGGGCTCCACACCTCGGGCAAAGCGGCGATCCCCGGCTGGTGTTTTCAAACCTTCGCTTGGCAGGCCACAAGGCCCCTTGGCTGACCATCTCTAAAACAGCTGCAAGCTGATTGAGCCCTTTCCTAAGCGAGCTCTCTAGGTGGGCCCAAGTCACAGTAAGATCCACACCGAACTCGGCCCCAGCACCCCCAAAATGTTTACTGGTTTGGGCCCACAAACTCTGCTCCAGGGCGGACCCTACCTCAAATGTTAACAGATCTGGTCCTTCTGGACCGTCGAAGATGAATTTCTCCCTGCTGGGTATGGTCCACTCTCCTGGCGAATTCGGGGTCCACTTCATATCTAGTAGCGTGGCCTGTACTGCTGCCAAGTGGCCCCGCACATGTTGCCAGCGGTTCTCCACTCCCTGCAGCTTCTGCCAGGACTCCTGCCACGCGAGGTTGATCCCGTCGCGCCACTGAGCCATCCTAGGCAGGTGTTCCTGCCAGGACAAAAGGAGCTCCATGGGGCCCAAAAAAGGGGATCACTGGCCTTTCCTAAACTAATCCTAATGGCGGTGGTCGCACATCCACCTGCCCACTTGCTACCACACATGGCGGAAACCTGAGCTCTGAGTTGCCTGGGCGTCGCGGGCGCAAGGCCCATGGCGACGGCCCCCCAAGAGACCTGGGGCTCGTGCCCCGTCTTGGCCAGTTTTGTGGCCTCTCGGGCCACTCTACCTGAGAACTTGACCGCTCTGGCCCTCTGGGAGCCCTTCTTCTGTCTAGTTTTGATTACTCCTTGTCTCCTAGCCCCGCTGGCGACGTCGATCCCCAGGTCCCTGGCCTTAACCTCCACATCGACGGGAAGGCTCATCTCTTTGATCTCCTGGCGGAGATCGGCTCTGAGCTGCGGGGCAGCGCCACCGATTTCTTGGAGATCCTCAAGCCTTTTGCCGTCGTAGATCTGACAATAACTGCTGCCACTGAGGTTGCTTGTGTGAACGCTGAACGCTGGCTCCCAATATTTAGCTGCGCTAAGTCGCCCACCCAGCTCCCAATCTGATTCCTGGGCGGCGGGTACTGCTTGTGCACTTCGTCCATCATGTCCCAAAGGTACATACGTGACCAATCAACACTCTGCAGACATCCCGCTACGATCGAGTTGTTTGAATGCACATTATCCGAAAGAAACCTGCCCACTGCCAACCACCTATCTGCCGTGTGTTGCAGGGGCGCTAAGTAGAAAGGGACGAGTGGGCACTGCAAGGATTGAGCCAAACCCGGGAACGTTGACGGCTGGATGAGATCGTAAAGCTTCTCTGCGCCCCAGAGGAACTGGATCCAGCTGGAGCCCAGGAGTCCGCAGGCTTCAGCTTTTGATTGCCTGAGGACCGCCGCTCTCAGTGGGCTGCTGCCTTTGACCGCCGAATCCCAGAAACCTGCTTTCTGTCTCTCCCAGGTGGTGACAGGCTGCTTCCTCAATATACTCCAGAGCCGATATGGGCCAGGCGTGAGCGCGATAGGTCTATCTCCTCCTGGATGGGGGCTTCGGGGTCCTAGCTACAACATGAAACAATGTCTGTTCAGGCCATGCGAGTTCAGTTTCAACTTGTTGGAGGCCTTCTAGGAGGTCTCGTTTGTCTTCTTGGGGTAGTTGAAGCAGTTCTCGTGGGTTCCATGGGTCTGCTCCTAGGCCTGCATGTTCTCTGAAGTATAGCATGCCCTGTATCATGTTCTCCATGGTCATCTCTGGCAAGGGTTATCCTCCTGCTCCTCCCTGGTCCTTCGCCTAAGTTGTCGCAGACAGTCGGGGAAGGTATGCTTCTGCTGTCCTACGGTCCCGTTCCAAAGTTCGGCCCATCTGTGGGCTTTCTCTTGCATGATGGCCATCGGCTCTACCACCTCTAGCCCGTCAGGGTCCGTCTCGATTCCCAAGGAAGCCTCTGGTTGTTGCCACGTCCTGGAAAACTGGTTAGCCCAGCTTGCCCCTGAGCTGAGGCCCTGCTGCAGGAACTGTGTGATGCCCTCGCTCTTCTCCTTCGTGGCTGCTAAACTAACGTTGGCTAGGATCTGCTTCGAGTCGTTCACCATATTCCTGATTCGATCTGGCTCCACTGGCGAAGCTCGTATATCCGCCAGCAACTTCTGGCACAAGTCCTGCACCGTCTCTGGGAGCTGGACTATGTTAGTGGCAACATCTGGGTCGTGTGCCCAGTCTACTAACTGTCTGCAGATGGCCTTCTCCTGGTTTATCTCCTTCTCCTCCTTTCCTCTGTTGCCCAACGTGTAGAGCTCCTGGAGCCTGGGCCTGACGCCTCCCCAGCAGCAAACCACTTTTGATAGCCCGAAAATACCTGGAGGCTTCCCTTGGAGGACGTCAGTATGCCGGACCCTGGGGCAATCTCCTCGTTGGTGTCCCGCTGGGATGCGACAGGCTCTGTTTAGAAGAAGGCCCTCTGCTTGCTTACAAAACTGTGCGCACTTGCTGCTGAGGTCGGCGCTGGTGGCTTCCCTCCAAACACTGTAGTCCGATGAAGTCCCCGGGGGTTCGTGGTCCCGAAAGTGGTCCCATGGCAAATCAGGTCCATGGCTACACAGGTACCAGCATTCGTGCCTGCAGGGTCTCCTTGGCTATGTTCAGGGCGCCCTTGATGCCGACATGTGGAGCCCACGGTCCTCGGAAGCCGAGTTCGAGTTCAATCAAGGCTGCCAGCTCCTCTGATATCACACCGTAATCGAATACGCGACCTTGCCCTCCTGAGATTGTGAAAGCGCCTGGGGCCTGCACAACCTCCTCCTCCTCCTCCTCCTCCTCCTCCTCCCCCTCCTCCTCCTCCTCCTCCTCCTCCTCCTCCTCATCCTCCTCATCCTCCTTCTCATTCTCCTCCTCCTCATTAGATGGATCCTCTCCCTCCGCCTCCTCCTCCTCCGCCTC